CCCCTGGGGTTGCTGCCCTCAGTCCTCAAACGCTGCCGTAAATTTTCTGCAAGCAAAGCGGCTCTCGGAGACCATTTCTCAGGAAACGCCACAGAAAAAAAAGCAAATATTAGATTGCACTGCTGGCAGGCCTAAAAGCCAGACGGCCCTGGGCCTGACCTGATGGGCAGAGAGATGCTGACTCATGGCTTTCACAAGGTGAGTGCGGGAGCTGGGCGGAGGCTGCTGGCTGGGCTGCGGCTATGAATGGTCAGCACACGGGGAGCTTTCTGTCACTGAGACATGGCTTTCCTTAGGCCAGTACCTGCCAGGACTGGAACAACAATTCCAGAACTAAGGGGCCACTCTGTGCTTGCCTTTCTGGGCCTGCACAGCCATGGCCTGGCCTGGCCAGTGGCCTCCATCAATACCACTTGGACCATGGACTCAGCCTGGTGAGCCCTGACGCTCAACCCCAGATCATGACACAGAATAAAATGTTTGCAGCTATAGGGTTGCCATGCAGCAGCAGGTAACCTGAACCCCCTTCTCAGAGATTTAAGGTCATGTTAAGTGACTAGCAAGTGCCACTGCAAGCAGGGGACAGCTCCAGAGCAGAAGGGCAAGAAGAAAGGTCTCAGAACACACTGTGCCAGGCCCCACGCTGAGCACCCCCACCTCTGTTACCTCCAAGAGCCTTCCAGCCACAGGGACGTAGGGTGACGCTCCCCACTCTACAGAGGGCACACGAGGCTTGGAGAGGGTAGGCGACTTGCTCCGAGGCACACAGGTTGTTATTGGCTTTCGAGTGTTTCTCATGCCATCTGCCTGCACCCCCCAGCCGTGCTGGGCACTGCGGGACCCTCGTCAGGGGCAGGGCGGGGCCGGCGACGTGGCACCAGATAATAATGCCTCCTGTCGCCCACGCGGCCGCGCCAGCTGTGAACACCATCCGGTGGCTCCAGCGTTAATTGCTCCGGAGCACCGGGGCCATATAATTTGGATCAAAAGACCCCTCTGGGTGAAGACTTAATTGCGGCACTTCGTGCCGCCCTGGGGCGAGCTGAGCGGCTGCCGAGCTGCGCTGCTCCTGGGCCTGGGTCTGTGTCTGGTCTGGGCTTTGCCACTGCCCTTCACCTTCCCGGCCAGCTCACGCCCGCCCGTTTCCTCACCTACAAAATGGGAGTGGACAACAACCCCGCTGACAGCCCATGGCACCAGAGGCCCAGATCGTGTCAGGAGGTTCACTGGAGTCATTCCACAGGTGTGTCCCGTCCCCAGCCCTCCCTGAGCCCGGCACTCGCTGGGCTTCCAACTGGTCCTGTGTATTCAGCCAGCCGGTGTCTCCTGCGTGACCTTCAGCCATCCAGCATCTGCTGCGTGACCTTCAGCCGTCCAGCATCTCCTGTGTGACCTTCAGCCGTCCAGCATCTCCTGCATACCTGTTTGTGCCACCCGTGGCTTCAGGGATTGCAGAGGTGACTGAGGTCACTGGCCTCAAAGGTCTGCCTCTCCGAGGAGGCAAACAAGGAAACAAAATGGGATAAACAGGGAGCTCCTGCCGGCTGGGCCGGGAGCTCCAGCAGGGAGGATGTGCCCGGCTTACTGAGGAGGCTGGGGCTCTGGTGGCAATCCATGTGTCATGGCGGGGGACTGGGACAGAGATCCTGAAGCCAGGTGCACTGGTTCAGGGAGACCTTGATCATCCACTGAGTGACACTGTCAGCCAAGCCCCGGGCGGGCTCTGGGAGATGAGCGACAGGGTCGAGGTAGGGTGGGGAGAAGGTGGCTGATGGGCGGGGGCAGGACAGCACGAGGCTGGCAGGGCTGCCAGGGGAGGCAGCGGCCGTGGGTGGGTGGACGCAGTTGGCTGGCTCACTTCCTTCTGCTGCAGGGCTGGAGACTGGACCCTGCCTTCCCAGCCTTCCTTGCGGCGCAAGATCCCACACAAATTAGGTTCCACCAAGTAACGCAGCGGGAGCTGCAGAGCGGGGGCAAGCCGCCCTCTGGGCTCGGAGCTGGGTGGCTTCTTGCTGGTGTCCAGGGGTGCTCTTGCCGCCCGAGGGCTTGCCCTGGAGGGGCTTCCTGCAGGCTGCAGTCTTGGGCAGTGGCTGGACTCCATGCTTCAGGCTCCCTTTTCTGTCTCCAAGGGTGTGGAGAGGCAGTTTCAGTGGTGGTCACCTCTTGAGGTCCACTCCTTGCTTGCTGATGGCCGCTGAAGCTGTGGTTCGTTTTAGTTGAGATACAACCTACCAGGTCAAGGGCACAAACCCAGGAGCAGGATGAGTTTTTATGTGTATAGATACATCCACGCACCCACCCTGTCCTAAAACACACGTCCACCTCCCCAGGGACGCGTGCCCTGCAGCAGACTAGCCCCAGACGTGACTGTGGAAGGGACACAGCCACCCCGGGGGCCATTCCAGGAGACTCAGCCTCCAGCCCCTTCTCCAGTCTTCCCAGTGACCTTGTCCCCTCTACTAAGCCCCCCACTGAGAGAGCAGAGGAGGCCCTGGGGGTTGGTGATGGGGAGGCCCTGGTGGCCTTGGGAAGGCTGCCGGGCAGGGGATGACGGGCTGATGTGTGGTGATAAGCTGCGTGGCCTGGCTGGGCAGGGGACAGGGGGCCCAGACAGCTGCTGTGGGGGTGCTGGAGGGCAGGGAGGCCAGCAGCTGCTTCTGGTGCTGTCCCTTGGCCGGAGGCACATCCCCTGCTGCCCTCCAGACCCCCACCCCAGCCACCAGCCGACTCCCTGAACTCAGAACGGGCAGCCCTGGTTGCGGGTACCTGTCCTGTCTCATGCACAGTGCTGCCTGGCTCTAGGGTGCAGAGTTGGGGCAGGGGATGAGGGACAGGACATGGTCCTTCCCTGTGTCTCAGCATCCAGCTCTGTGCTTGGAGCACCCGTCTTCCCAAGCTGGTCCCAGAGCTGTGACTGGTAGGCCTTGTAGCAGGTACCCGGGTTCCTGTGACTTTCTACTGGTGCGGACAGTGGCAGGTGCCGTGTGGCCTGGACAGAGGAGGAGGGAACACTAAGGCCCGCGGTGGAGGGTCCCTGAGGCCAGGCTGGTGCCTGGCTGCCTTCTGCCTGCTCCGTGCTTTCTGTGTGGCCAGGTGTGGGGTGTGGGTGGGAGGAGGTGCCCGGCACACATCGGGCTCTGTTCCTGGGGAGAGCAGGGTGCGCACCCCTTCCCTGGAGCCAGACAGCCTCCGCTCAGGTCCCAGCTCGGCCACTCACTGACCTTCTGGGCCTCGGTTTTCCCACCTCTGCGGTGGGGACAGCTACTGGTAGGGTTCTTCACCAGTTGAGTTCCCTGGGAACAGACTGGGACTTGTGTGCTGAGACGGAAGAGCATGAAGGAGGGAGGGAGCAGGAGCCGGCCACAGGAGGTGGCCGCTGTGGGGTGGAGACCCTGAGCCTCCAGGCCGTGGGCCTGCCCCTGAGAGCAGGTGTGGCCCTGGTCAGCCAGCTCCCTACAGCTGAGGCTGGGCTGAGGGCCTCCCTCCTCAGCCTCCTCCTCGGCTATAACCTGTGAACATTCACCAATGCTCTTTCCAGCAGTCACGGCAACCCTGGTACAAAATGTTAGCGCAGCCATTCCGGCCAGGCTGTGCAAGGCTGCACTGACTCTCCCAACAGGTGAGGAAGTGATGGGCCCGCGGCCATGGGTGAAAGCCAGCCGGCCCAGATTCCGGAAAGTGCCTTCACGAGGGACAAACGGACCGGTGGTGCACCAGGAGGCGATGCCAAGGACAGATCTGGGTGGCTGGGGCTGCCTTGGACCATCCACATTTCCCAAATAAATAAGTTGTGCACCGTGCAAATCTCCACCGAAAATAAACCCGATTTCCCCATGGAGCATAAACGCAGCTTAGCATTTCTTGGCAGCCAATGGCTTCCAGGATTTCACGCAGGTTAAAAATAAAAATGCAAAGCATTATGATAATCCCTCTGTCTCCCGCACTTCCCAGCTGCGCAGTATCTTTCCCAGCCACGTTCACTGAGGACCTCCAGGCAAATGCCGCAGGCTGGTGGCTTCATTCCTAACCACAGGAAGGTAAACTGAGGCACGCCCAGGAGAGCAAAGCGAGACGCCAGGCCTCACCCACGTCTGCTCGGCCCCAAAGGCAGCCTCCTTCAGCTTGGCAGCTGGACTGTATTGTGACTCCAGGCCTTGGGTTCAAGAATGGGCCATCAGTATGTAATGTCACGTTACGTTATTAGGTGACCTTGGGAGGGACATCGCCCATCAGATCAGCAGGGACCAAAGCTGACGGACCCCATAGGCTGGAATCACATGCTCATCACTTGGGCCTAGTCCTAGGTGACGTCTGCCAGCACCCGTCTTACTTGGCTTTGACACCAGGCAGGAGCCAGGAAATAGGAAACCCAGGGACTCTCAGGCATTGTCATCCGAGGAGGATTTCATAACAAGTGGGTTAGCCCGGAGCCCGGCCTCGGTTGAATACAGGGGTTGGGAGCAAAGTGAAGCGGCCCAAGGGCCCACTGGGGAGAATGGGTTCCTTTAGCCACTGACCAAGATCGTGTGACCAGAAGGTCAGGCCAAGGTCCCAGGCTGGTAGGCAGATGGGCTCAGGCAGGGGGCTGCCCAGGATTTGGGTCTCCAGAAACGGTGACTCAGAGAAAGGGCTTTCACAGGGGGACCCGCAGGGACTGTGTTCTAGAGCTTGTGGCCATCACTGCGAGGCTGATGACCCGGTCTGACCAGCTCGTCAGACCGCGATGACCCAACAGTCTCTCCGCCACTTGCCAGCGTGTGGCTACGTGCCTGTCACTTGACCTCTCTGAGCCCCAGGTGGATCATCCGTCGCGTGGACAGGTCAGCAGTTGTTGACCTGTGAAAGCCAGGTCGCCCCCAGTGCACTCGTGACGTCGCCCTCTGGGAAGGAATCGCCATGAAGGTAAGTGCTGGGTGACACCGCGGAGCTCACCCCTGCAGACTCGAGGAAGTACTTCCCGTCACTGCTGCCAGGAAGTCCTCCCGACGGATGCCACCCTCCAGCTGAGCCAAGTCTCTGCTGGGCTCCCACATTCCCATGTCCACTCACGGCATCCAGGAGTCCAGTCTTCAGGGTCCCTGTGTCTTTCCCCCTGGCCCTGTGCGCTCCTGGAGGACACAGACCTGGCCTTCTCCTCTCAGGGCTCCGCCCCCACCAGATCCAGCATGTTTCCAGGCACCTGGGAGGCGCTCTAGGGGGGATGCTTGGGTTCACCCCAAAATCACATGTGGGAACCTCGATCCCCAGTGTGACCTATGGAGGCGGGGTCTGGAGAGGTGGTTGGGTCATGAGGGCAGGGCCCTTATGGATGGGGTCCAGTCCTTTCTAGCACGGGCCCCGATGATCTCCGTCTGCTTTCCTCCACGTGAACACAGTGGAAGGTGCATCTGTGAACCAGGTAGCTTGCCCCACGGACACCACTGAAACTTAGAAGTCTCCGACTTCCGGAGCTCGGAAAGTAAGAATGACTTGCTCAGGCCCCCCAATCTGTGGCATTTTGTCCTAGCGGTCTGAGTGCACCAAGACGGCACCACCGTCCCCAGCAAATAGTTATTGAACGAATGAGTGAGTGAGTGAATGGATCTGACCCTCTGTCCATGCCGTGGGGTGGACAGATTGCCCCATCTCACAGAAAGGGAAGCAGAGGTTCTGAGGGTGGAGGCAGCTCCCCCAGGACACTCTGGCTAGCTGGCTTTGGGTGAGAAAGTTCCAAGGGCTTCTGCAGCATGGTGAGTCCTGGGCCTACCCTGCATGGAGCTGTCTGCTCAGAGCCCTGCAAAGGGCAGCAGGCCCAGAGCCGTAACAGGCCAGGGGAGCAAAACAGCGCGGCTCCTCACTCAGAACATAATGGCGCCCAAATCCCTCTTCACCCTATTTAATGCTCCAAGTTTTCTGAGAGGCCTAATTGAACATTCCTCTGTGGAACCCTCTAGGTGGAACAATTAACCGGCCTCTTAGCAGCAAGCAGCTCCCTGGGCAGGCCCCAGATTTATGTCTCCTGGGGAGGCAGCCTATTAGCTGTGGCCATAAATCTTGGGGCCCTGGCTGGCAAGGTGGATTTTAATAAAATCATAGGGGACGGAGCCAGGCTGGGGTAGCAGATTTCCGGGGGGAGAGCCAACATTTGCCTGTAATTAATCGGGACGCCTTTGAGCTCTGGGGAAATGCCCAGGTTTTAATGAAAACTCGGGAGCTGGAAGCAGTGCCCAGTTGGTAGCCGAGCCAATGTCCCGGCTGGGATGGAGATGTGAGAACTTGGGGTGCCTGGGCCACCCCTGCCAGGGGGTCTTGAAGTCAGGGTATATTCAGTGGGCCCTGGGTGGGCGCTGGGCACTGATGGTGGTGGGTTAGAATGAGTCCTGCTAGCTGGCCAGTGCTTCCCCAGCCTCCCTCAGCCTCCCTCTCCAGGGACTCTTGCCCAGGAATCCGGGGCTCCTCTTAATGCTGAAACCAAAGGGTAAATGCCTGGCCCAGCGGGAGCTTCCTGATCCTTCAGTCCTCTGAGGTCAGTTTTCGGGGGCCTTCCCTTGAACTTGCTTCTCCCTTTAGCCAGATCTGCCAGTGCTAGTGCACCCTGGACCCCTGCCTTGCCCTTCCTCCCCACCCCCTCCTCTGTCTCTCCTCTTGGGTGTCCCTGGGTCCCTTCCATGCTCCAGGTTCAGTGCCTTCCTCTGGGAGTCACCTGCATCCTACTGAGCACTTCCTCCCCAAACTCGCCCCCCACTCCCCGCTCTCTCCCTCTGGCCCTCCATCCTGACCCCCAAAACACCATGCCTTCCATCCACTGGCTCAGGCCCAAAGCTCAGGACCGTCCTGGAGCCCTGTTTCCTCATCCCCACCCAGCCCTGCAGGTCTTCCCGGGGGCTCCATCTCCCCCGGGGGTTCCACCTGGACTGCTGTAGCTGCTCCTGCTTGGTCTCAGAGCACCTTCTTGCCTCCTCGTACCCCACACAAGGGTCCAAGAGGTCTCAAAGGTCACTCCTGGGCACCCTAGAGTCACCAGGAAGGCAGCTGATGCATCCTGGGCGCAGGACACTGTCCCGAGTGCTTCCTCTGCTCCTTGTTCAGCCCTCTAGATCACGCTCTGGCTCTGTGGACACTCTCACTTTGCAAATGAGGAAACCCAGGCACAGAGAGGTTAGGGAACTTGCTTAAGTCTGTGCAGGTGGTTGGCTTCAAGGGCTTGCTACCTCTCCCAGGAGACCTCCCCACCTGGTCCCCTCCATCTCTGGCCTCTTCCTGAACCCAGCTCTCCTCACAGTGTCGCCTGCCTGCTCTTATCACCATCCAAATGGATCTCATTGGTGTGCCCCAAACCTAGAGTGGGCCCTGGGCTCTCTGCTCTCCAGCTCCTGGTACACAGTAGGTGCTCCATAATGTGTTGCCACAAAAACACTCTTTCTGAGCACATAGTAAATGGGAAACCATTCTGGAACCCACCTGGTCCCTCTATGGTCTAAGATTAGCAGAAGAATTTTCCTCCCAGGGAAGGGAAGGGATCAGCTCTCGTGTGACACGGGTGGACTGCCCAGGATCCCACCGTGGGCTGGATGGGTTCCCTTATGTCTCTTACTGGGGATGGTGGAGGAGGGTGCAAATTGTCAGGGCTAAGATCAGGGCAGTGGCCTGGGGTATTTGCTAAGTATGTAGATCACTATGCTAGGTGTTCTTGAGGTCTCGAGAGAGACCCATAATAGTTCCTAAGAGTCAGAAGGGATCTTAGAAATCATCTTTATTTCATCTAACGATATGTTATAAATCAGTGAACCCAAGGCTCTAGACAATAAGTAGCTTGCCCAGGCTCTAGAAGTTTCTGATTATACTAAGATGAGCTAGAAGCCAGACCTTCTGGCTCCAAGACCAGGGTGCCCTACAGGAAGGAGTAGAGAAGTCTCCTTCTACTCAGTGTCTGGCTGTCTCCGGCCCCTGGAGAGCTGGCTCTGTTCTGGGGAGGTTGCTGTAGAGAGAGGCAGTGAAAACTGCACCCAGGTCTAGCCTCACCTTAGAGTTATGTCGGCCAAAGCCCAGAGTGTACAACTTCAGGAACTGGAGGACCTTCCTCCAGCTCCAAGGATTTCCCTGATGTTCACTGGATTCCAAAATTTGTTAATGAGGATGAGGTTTTGGGGATCACAGAATATGATCTGTTTCTTCACAGATGCCCTGAGCAGACAAACAGAATCTGCAGACGCTTTCTTGATGATAGCTTCTGCCAGGACTAGTGAAGGGGCGTGGAAAGCCCAGTGGGCGCTTGTCGAGGTAAGCAAAGGATTCAGGATGAAAGACTCAGGCACAACAAAGGCAAGTTTTCCTACCACGAAGAAGCCCTCGTGTTCGCGCACACGCCCGAAAAACTGCCATCGGTGGAGGGGAACCGCCACTGGGTGGAGAAGCCCCAGGTGCACATGCACGGAGCTCCAAGCGGTGGTGAAGCTGCAGCAGGAAACGTGATTTTTCATAAGATCTTCATTTCAAGAGATTTTAGACAATGAAAATAGCTTCTTATCCTTTAAAAACAGGAGATTCAGACCCAGTAAATGATTTTGTTATTTGATGACTTCATGGAATACATCCAGGAGATCCAACTCCAGGACAGGGAGCGTGTGCAGACTGCAGGAGTGGACCTGAGGGCAGAGCAGACTCTCGACCTTCTGAGGCTCCTGGGCCTGGGCCTGGGGTGCCGGAAGACGACTCTGAGAAACAAGCCGTCCCGTGCAGAGAGGAGCGTTCCTGAAAGTCTAACGGAAAACGCTCATGTGGACCTCTTTTTGAGTTCCTGAGCTACAAGACAGACGGTCCCCTAGGAAAGGGCTGGCAGGTGTGCCTTCTCCCCCTGCTGCCCCCAACCTGGGTTTCCCCATAGGTAAAAGGGGAGCAGAAACCCCCGACCTGGGCCTGCTTGGGAGGATGCAATGGTTAGAAAGTAGAAGACGCTCCTGAGGTCCTAGCATCACCCCTCCACCCCAGTCACTTTCTTTATCTCCAAAGCAACCGCCACATTGAGGCTTCTGTGGGGGGCTGGACCCCCCACCTGCAGAGCCCCCTCACCTTTCACCTGCTGGAGGCCTTGGACTCTCAAGCATCACCTCCTCTAGGAAGGCCCAAGTGGCCACTCCCACAGGTGGATCCAGCCACCCCCAATAGGGGGCCCCAACCCCAGGAGGACTCACCTCCCCATAAAGTGATGTCACCCCACAGGTAGACCGTCACCCCGTAGGTAGATCAGGCCAACCACCCACCGGTGGGTCTGACCTTCCTAGTTGGCTCCCACTGGCCTGTCTTCTACCGTCTGGTATCTCCGTCTGGACCCGTGTCCTCGGCACAGGACAGGCACGCAGCAGGGTCCACGCGGCATTTCCAAGATGGAAAAGAGAGGGACAGTCAGGAGCATGTGACACACTCCCGCATCACATGGCTCCGTGAGAAGCAGGGGCCTTGTCCTGGCCCAGGCTTGGCAATGAGCTTCCTGGGGAACTGCTTCCTCCCCACCCCCCAGGCCCCCCACCCCCAGGCCCCGACCAGGAGGAGTCTAGCCTTGAACCCGCTTTCGGGGCTGCCCGAGCGTAGAGCAGCATAATTATATCTTAATAATTGTTTTGCAGCATAGGATTGATAATTACTAAATGTGCGATAACTGCTCCTTAAATGCCCGTGCTCTTTAAAAAACCCAATTTATAATTTAAAAAGCTGACACTTCTCAGAGGGCTTTATTTTATCTTGTCGGGAGTAATGGAAGAATAAGTTATTGAAAACCTTTATTTTTCATTAGCCTTAAATTCAACGACAATTAATGTGCCCAATTTGATTATAAACTGCACAAATTAAACAATAAAGAGCTGTCTAATGAGAAATTAATTATGAGGAAGGGAAGGGGGCCGAGCCGGATAAAAGCCATAACTTACGGCCCGCGGCAGCGAGTGTCAGGTTTTAAAGGAGATGAAGGGCCCTCTCCTCAATGTGTGTCTTTGCTGATAGGACCCATCACAGATCAGTTGATCCAGAAACCATAACAGGCTAGTAATTGAAACTGCCAGAATCAATAGTGCTGACAGCCTTAATTAAATTAAATATGGCTGTGATGGGCTCCCAGCGCCCGGCAGCGGCGGGCCACTTGACCCTCTGGCTGAGTGCGCTGATGGAGTGCAGCCGCGGGTGATGGATCTGACCCCAGGGGACAGTTGGGGACCGGGCTCCTGCAGACAGCGGCTGCCAGAGGAGTGGGCATGCCCCGCCCCCTGCTGCCTGTGGCTGAGAGACCCCGCCCTGTGGCCAGGGTGGCTACCCCAGAACCCTGCTCTCTTCTATCTGCAGCTGGGAAGTTGGGGTCCGGTGGCCTCTATTTTGGGGGGCAGAGGAGTCTCCTGAGTTGGAGGAAGGGAACAGGAGAGGGAAATTAAGATCACTGGTGAACCCCTGTTGCAAGCCTTGCAGTTTACCATCCTCTTGAAGCAAGTCCCCGTGGGACAAGCTGGGCAGGTTGGCTTCCATCACAGATCTGCCACAGAGGCCTCCAGGGACTTTGGACAAGGCACTCAGCCTTGCCAAGCCTCACCTTCTTCTTCTGTAAAATGGGTGCATGTGCTCGAGAACCCTCAGAAGCCCAGGCAGACTGACAGCTGGGTGCAGAACCCAGCTCCAGGTAAAGAGTCGACGGAGACACAAACACATGAGTGCACTGCGGCCACCTTCGGTGCCACACTCGTCTCCTAAGGCAACAAGGAGAGGCCAGAGCAGGAGTCCCTCAGAAAGAGGCTCCGCTCAGAGCTTCTGACCCGGGCGCATGGTCCTTCCTTCCCCATGTGGCACTGTCCACGAGCCCAGGGTTAAATGCTCAGCAAGCACTTCTACCACACAGTCCCACACTGCCAACAAGCATGAGTCTCGCTCTGTTTTATAGATAAGAAAACTGAGGTTCCGGGGCGTTGGGCAACTTGCCTGAGCCAGTGCTGGAGCCCGAGCTGGAGCCTTTGACCCAAGTGGAAAGGGGCCTGAAGATCGAAGCCGGAGACTGATGACCAAACGGACCCAGACCCTGGGCCCCTGGCATCCGGAGCCTGCTCTCTGCCCCCAGGATTCTGGAAAAGGGGCAAGTTTAGAAGAAGAAGTGAAACCAACAGCAGCTCTCCAAGATTTTCTGTGGTGACCCTTCCTATAGTGCCCCTCCCAATAGTCAGATTAATTTAAAAACTAATACCCGGAGGGCTGGGGTTGTGGCTCAGGGGTACAGCACTTGCCTGGCACGTGTGAGGCACTAGGGTGTAATCCTCAGCACCCCAGGAAATAAATAAAAGTATTGTGTCCATCCACAATTCATAATAGTAATAATACCTGAAAGATCTAGGACCCACATTTCCCCCGCTGCTGCTGCTGTGGACATTGGGTCAACCCGACGGGCTCCTCAGGTGTCCTGGAGCGGGCACCGGGGTGGTGGAAAGATCTTGGGTGTCTCATGGAGAGCCCTGGGGGATGCAAGCCCTGGGTCCCTCCTTCTTTGGCTGTGTGACCCTGGGAATGTCACTGAACCACTCTGCTTGCTTTCTTTACATGGGCCCAAGGGGACAGGAGCTTCCTCTCTCAGAACCGACGTGACACTGAAGCAAACCAGAGTCTGTGCCCGAAGTGACTCCGTGGGCCTCCTCAGACCCTGGCAGCCACTTGCCTCAGCTGCAGGTTGAGCAAAGGGCACATGAGAGCTTGTTCCTTCCTTACTGAGAAAACAAAATCCACAACTACAAAAAAAAAAAAAACACGCCGGCCTCCTCCTCGGCTTCAGTTTTCGCCGTAGGAAGCTGAGCAAATAAATATCTTCCCAGTGCGCTCGGCCGACTTCTCAGATGACATGAAATAGGCGGCTGAGTCCCCGATGTTCATGTCAGCGCTAACAAACTGTCCCTTCATTACAGGCCGCGGAGATCAGAGGCCCAGATTATTGAAGGAGACGCCTTTGAGATGCCCAAGCAGTTGCTGTGACAACTCTGGCAGAGGGCGGGTGGGGGTGGAGGGGGCAGCTGCCTGCAGGGTGGGGACAGGCTCCAGGCGCCCGCCCGGCTGGCCTGACAGCAGGTAATCCCGGCCCAGGCCACTTAGCCAGAGCTCTGCACATGAGCACCTCAGCTCGCCCCCCACAAGGCCCCTGCCAGGGGACCTTAGTGACAGCCGGCTTAGCAGGCCATGCAGTCCAACTCAGTTTTCTTAAAGCTGGTGCAAGAGCACAGTGTGCACCAGGAGCCATGGACCAGCATAGTGCCAGGAACTCGGGCTTTGCCTCAAAGTCAGCTGGGTTGAATCCTGGTCCAGCTGTGTGACCCTGAGAAAACTCACTCACAGTCTCTGGGTGTCTGGCGCTCCAGCTGGCCACAGGCATCTCAGCTTTCACCTTACAAGAAAGAGGTCTGGGGAGCTTGGCGCACTCCTGTTGTGCACCACAAAGGGACCAAGTGGGAGTGTCCTAGGGTGGCATCCTCGGGGTTCAAACTCCAGCCCTGCTGCCCCTAGCTGCCTGACCTTGGGCAGGTCACCTGGATTCCTGCATCTGTTTCCTCTTCTGCAAAACGGAGACGCCACTATCCACCCAAATCAGCACGTGAAGCACCGTTACATCCATGATTGTCCACGACCCCCAGCATCCTCCCAACTCTGAGGCCAGCAGGCTGGCGCCCCCACCCCAGACCTGTCTCAGTGCCCGCCTGAGACACCTGGTCCACAGCCATGCTGCTCCCACAGGAGCCCTGGGGGCTGCTGCTAGGATGGGACGTCGCACACGTGCGTAGGCACACACGCCTCGCCATATATCATGATCGCTGGTGAAATTATGGGTCCACAGGGGGAAAATTACAACAGAGAAGGAAGAAAAAAACTCTGAATCGGAGGCTTTCACTGGTGCTGCCCTGACTGCGGGAGTCGGTCACCGGGCTCTCACCTGTCACCTCCCCAGACTTCAGGGTGATGGGGAGAAGCACTGTGCTCCCCCATCTGACACTGTGTCGCCGGCAGCAAGGAAGGAAAGCAGATGGATTGGATCACACAGAGCCTTTCCGCCCAGGCTGGCCCACGGAGTCCTCCGAGAAGTCCTGCAGCCCTGCAGTCACCTGCCGCCTTGTCCCTTCCTGGGCACCGCCCTGGGGTTTCCGCCTAGTCTGGCGTTGTGCCAGGACTGGGGGTGCAGGGAAACAACGGGATTCCTTCCTCTGCCTCAAGATCACAAAGAAGGATCACCTCATCAGGATGGCCCTGATGAGAATAATGATGACCGTGTCGCCCAGGAGGTGGACAGACCAGAGGCCTCTGCCTGCGGGTGAGAGCACGAGAGGGTGCAGCCCCCGGGCACAGCAGGGCAGCTCCCCAGACTTGAACGCAGAACCCCCGCTCCTGGATGTGCCCAAAGGACTCCAAGCAGGGTTCAAGTGGGTATCCGCACACCCGTGTTCGTAGCAGCATGAGCCACATTGGCCAAGGGAGGGCAGGGCCCTGCTGCACCGACAGGTGGATGGATGTGTCACCTTTCTTGCTGCTGTGACGAAAGGACCCGGCCAGAGCAACCACAGAGGAGGAGACATTTATTTGGGGGCTCATGGTTTCAGAGGTCTAATTCCATAGACCACAGGCTCCATTCCTCAGGGGTCAAGGTAAGGCAGGACATCATGGCGGAAGAGCGTAGCAGAGGGAAGCAGTCACATGATCAAGAAGCAGAAAGAGACTCCACTCTCCAGATACAAATATGAACCTCCATGGCACGTCCCTGGGGACCCACCTCCTCCAGCCACACCCCGCCTGCCTCCAGCCCTCACCCAATTAATCCCATCAGGGGACCAATCCACTGGTTGGGTTAAGGCCCTCAAAACCCCATCATTTCTCCTCTGGGCCTTCTTGCAATGTCTCACACATGAGCTTTTGGGGGAAACCTCACCTCCGAACCATAACAACAGACCAGCAGATGTGGTCTATAAATACCAGCAGGGAAGGGGGACGTGCTGTGTGAAGGTAGCTGGTGCCCCTGAACCGCACCAGAAGAACAGTGGAAACGGTCAATTTTCCAAGACCTGGGCGGGGTGTGGCTCCGTGGAAGCCCTTGCCCAGCTTACCCGAGGCCCAGTCCAGTCCCCAGCACCACACACTCAGACATGGACAGGAAGTGAGGACAGAGTGGACAGAAAGGCTGAGTCTAAAGCTCCAGCCCAGACACAGCTCAACTAAGCATCCCACCGACATTTATTAAGTGCCTACTGTGTGTGAAAGAAAGCAGAACCTCGGGGCCAGTGCAGAGGAGGATTTTCACCCAGGAGGAAAGAAGCTGCTCTCCTTGTCACCCGTTGCTGCAGACGCTCCAGGGAGGCTGGGCTGGCCCTGAGCATCAGAGGCCGACCAGCTCCCAGGGGTGCTGAAGCACTGCCCAGAGACCCCAGCTCCGCCATGGCTCAGAGATGACCCTGTGGGTCTGGCTGGGCTCGTTCAGAGGGGCTGTGGGACGGAGAGGGTGGGACAGAAACTTGTCACACAGTCCTGCGTTGGAGTCACTGCTTCACTGCTTGCATTAGTCAGAGCTCTCCAGAGAAATAGGGCCAGCACGTTATCCACCCACCCACCCTGTGTGTGAATATGTATTCATGCATCTATCCATCCACCCTCCCAACTGTGCATCCATCCACCATCCATCCGCCCTGTATTGTACATATGTTTATATGTATGTATCTCTCCATCCATCCACCCACAATGCATCCATCCATCCATCCATCCATCCACCATGTATTGTGTGCACATATGTTTATATGTATGTGTGTATCTATTCATCATACACCTGCCCAGCATATAAATGTACATATGTTCAAATATGTAT